ACTTCATGTTAGGCAACTTATAATTAGGTGTGTCATTCTTGTTATTAGAGATACTCGCTAAATAAATTCTAATTAAATGTATCTTTAATGTTTCTTTTATCTTCATTGTTTTTTTTTCTAATTAGATTTATAGTTTATACTTCTTCTAATTAGATTTATGGCTTATACTTCTAATTAGATTTATAGTTTATACTTCTTCTAATTACATTTATAGTTTATACTTCTTCTAATTAGATTTACAGTTTATACTTTTTCTAATTAGATACATTACATTTTTATTACTCGTGGCCTTTTGATTCGAATTAGATGTGTTCTTGTATAATTTCTAATTAGATATGTCATTTAATTAATGTCTAATTTGTTTTACAACTTTTTAGATGCGTAAATGATAATTACGTATTGAATATGTCTTATAAAATACGAATAGAATGTGTCTTATAAACTAGGAATACAATGTGTCTCTCATCAAACATGTAATAAGTTGTATTTTTGCCACCTTGAAGTCACGTGATGGTCTGAAACACCTGATTCTGTCACGGCCACGCCCCATCAGTGGCTAGCGATGCGGTGATCTCCCTTCTGCACGAGTTGTTACCCCTGAATTGTGCTCTCTGTTGTTGTCTGTCCCGCATCGCGAGTAATCTCCCTTGCAGCGAGAGTTATCGGTCGTGGTGGATTTACTTGTGGTGTTGATTTATTGTTCTTTACTGCTCCTTATCTTGGTTTTAAAAAAAGCAAGAGTTCGCTTTTAATTTTTTTTTAATCGCTAGACGAACTTTTAAGTATCCGTGTTCTAATGTAAACAATTTTAAATCTTCAAATTAAAAAAATATATAATAAATTTTAAAAAATTCAACATAATTTAAATAATATTGTATGTAATTTTTTTTTTCATTAAACTAGCGTTATTAATTTAATCGGAACATATTTTTATAATCACAATTTAGGAGGATTTTTTAAAGTAGGGCACAGTAGTGTCTAGAACAGCAGTAGGTACATTATCCCCACAGCCTGTTATATAAGAACCCACCTCTCTCACTCATGGGTACATCCTTGTAGCCGTGTAGCCGTGTTTTGAGCTGTCTACCGCCTCCGTAGCTGGTGCATTGATTTCACTTGTTTGACGTCATAGGTCGTGACCCAAAGACCTCTCCTTGACGAACGTACACAAACCAGGTATTTAACGAAGTGCAGACGACTTAGATTTCTTTGGACTACATTTTACGAGCTTGTTTCATTGATAGCTTTTTAAACTAGCAGGAGAGTCATCGTGTTGTGAATTCAGTTCTTAGAGGATATATTCACGGAAACCATTTCTTGGGATGTGCTGTGTTAGATAATTTTTACATTAATCAATACATTTTACTAGGTAATGTTTGATATTATGCCTAGAGAGCTATTGATAAGTTTTACGGTATTAATAAGATATGTTGTACTCTATTCCTCTGTCTTCAACTCCAGTAAACCATACGTCATACGCTATTACAACATCTTTCCATGCTTATCTGTCCGTTGCTATTTTTTTTTTTAGGTTTAACTACATTATTATTATGGCTTTTTTGAAGTAGGTTTTAGATAAATGCTTGTAAGATAATTTTTATTACTGTAGTAATTAGCATCTCAAGATAATTAAGTTTAATGAATCTCCACGTGTTGAGATAAAATTTGCAATTAGTTTGTTATCATTGGTTACCTCCCTGTAAATTGTAGCACAGTTACTTCCCCTGATGCGCCCGTCATGTTCTCCATGCGTGTTATAAATAACCCACTTCCGGCGAGATGTTCAATCTTTTATTACAGGTAAAACGGTGGCGCAATCAGCCGATTAATAGCATCGATTATCGATGACCAATTGCCGATATTGATCAGAGGTCTATTTTATAGTCTGGCGCGGGGTATTCAAGTTCGACAAGTGACGTCTTAGTTCGACCAATGACGTCTTAGTTCGACCAGTGACCTCTAAGTTGGACACGTCACGTTGTTCGATCTGTGACGTCATTTTATAGCACCAGACACGATTTTTGTCCCATAAAAAAATTCTGACACGAATGTCGGAGAAAAAAAAATGGGCATTAGCCAAATCGTTGTCGTGATTAATAATTAACTGCTAACACGAATGGCCATTACTTGACGTCAGCTGATTAGAGACCAAGTTAATTATAAACATGTTGCACGCGCACACACGTGATGTGTGAAGTTCTGACTAGATGTGACAATACACATTTTAATATTTTATGTAACGCCATGGGGTAGATGTTTTATTCCATGCGAACTGATATATAAAACACACACACATTTATATATATTATGTTGCAAACGATACTTTTACTCATACAAACGATACTTTTACTCATACAAACGATACTTTTACTAACACAAACGATACTTTTACTCATACAAACGATACTTGTACTCACACAAACGATACCTTTACTCATACAAACGATACTTTACTCACACAAACGATACCTTTACTCACACAAACGATACTTTTACTCTCACAAACGATATTTTTACTCATACAAACGATATTTTTACTCACAAAAACGATACTTTTACTCATACAAATGCTACTTTTACTTATACATACGATACTTTTACTTATAAAAACGATACCTTTATTTAAAAAAACGATATCTTTATTCATACAAACGATACTTTTACTCAGGCAAACTTTACGTTTGACTCATACAAACGATATTTTTACTCATCCAAACGATACTTTTACTCGTGCAAACGATATTTTTACTCATACAAACGATACTTTCGCTCATGCAAACGAAGCTTTTACTCATACAAACGATACTTTTACTCATACAAATGATATTTTTACTCATACAAACGATACCTTTATTCATACAAACTACACATATTCTTATAAAAACGCTATTTTTACTCAAACAAACGCATGCCTTGTCCTAAAGTGTCATAGCTTTTTTTTCAACTAATAAATCCAAACTGTGGCTTAAAATAAGCGGAATGTTTATTCGAATAAAAATCCGGAAGCAAAGATTGCAACAAAGGGCGGGTAACTCTAAAATTCTTTGCTGCGGGTTATTTTCAGAGTTATTGCTAGCTGGTTGTGTCTTGGTGGTTTTTATTTTTTTCTCAAGACGACCCAAAGAAAAAAATATTTTTTTTTGTTGGGAAGATGCAATTGTAAGATCTCGGGATAAACAAATTCTTTTCTCTGGCGCCCAGACGTGCAGTGGTGGGAGGGCGCAGGGCGGATGAATGGCTCCCTGCGGTGGCAGAAAAGCAAAGAGATGCTATCGACGCGAGGCTTTATTACGTTCAGATTTCTTCAACAAGAAGATTCGAGCCGGCTATTTAACGGGTAGATTAGCGTCCGTATTTAATCGATCCTGATAGGTTTTACGGGTGGCGTGGCTAGATGGTCGACATAGGGGGTAGGTTGTCTGGACAATGAACAGATGAAATCTACACATACACACACATACACACACACACACATATATATATATATATATATATATATATATATATATATATATATATATATATATATATATGCATAGACATGGACATGTGCATAGAAGTACATTTATTAAAATACATAGTCCTAATACATAGCAGTATTTTGAAGTATATGACAGGATAAAATTCTTTGTCAACTTTTTAACTTAAAGCGTTTTTCAACAAAATCCATATACCTTTTGTTAACAAAAATTCGTATAGCTTTTGTTAACAAAATCCATATACCATTTTTAACACATTCTTATAAAATGTGTTAACGAATCCTTTTAAAATGTGTTAACGAATTCCAAAAACATGCGTTATCTGACAAATCAAATTCTCGAAAGGAATTTACTTTTCAGCAACTGTTAGTTTCACAAACATAAAATAGAGTTTTAAATATAGCAAATGAAAAAGTTGAATTATCTCTAGTCACGAAAACGAACTTGGCACTAAATTAGCTATATGCCTGTTCATGTTTAAAACAATTTGGTAGATAATTTACAAAAGTGTAACTAGCTTTAAGTCTAACTGCTGTAAACGTTGTATTTGATTGTATTACACAGCAGGACTATTCCGATTATATCAATACTATAACATTGTATACCAAGTGTAGGGGTGGGGGTTGGGTGACTTGTTGTTGGAGGGGCTGTGTTATTAGGCGGCGCCATGTTGTAAAGTGGGCGCCATGTTGTACAGGGGGCGCCGTGTTGTAAATGGGGCGCCATGACGTAAAGGGGCGCCATGTTGTAAAGGGGACTCCATTTTGTAAATGGGGCGCCATGATGTAAAGGGGCACAATGTTGTAAAGGGGCGCATTGTTGTAAAGGGGGCGCCATGATGTAAAGGGGTGCGATGTTGTGAAAGGGACGCCATGTTGTAAAATGGGAGCCATGTTGTAGAGAAAGCGCTGTGTTGTAAAGGGCGCGCCACGTTGTAAAGGGGGCACTGTTGTCAGGAGAGGAACAGTGACAAAAATTGTATAAACCACAACTTGAGATCGTGACGTAGGCAAACAGCACCACAAACCAAACTTTGATCATCTGGCAGGTCTAGGACCTGTTCTATACAGGTGTGAGAGTCATTCATCACGGTGCCAACCGTCACGGTTTTTAAAAATATTTGTAACACGTTTCAGTTACACTGTATTTAATAAAGCTGTATGCGTAGTTGAAGTAGAGTTCTACAAAAAACGTGGAATCGGATACTAAAACAAACTTTGATTAACATTTCGTGATTTCGTTCTATAAATATATCTGACCTAATACCCTCTTGAACTCATATCTTATGTAAATACAACCTTGCATCGTTTCGACGGTCACGTGGACTTTGTTATATCTTTTAATTACATTGTAAATTTAAAGACTGGTCTTGTACTTTGGTGACGTTTTAATCTTTTAAAGAAACTTATATTGTCTTGTGTTTGGTAGTGATTGTATAGAGTTGTGTTCCCTGTTTACAAACATTGCCGTCAGTATAATTGCATTAGATTGTGCTACATGGTGTAAAGTAAATTTTTGGGTGAGTGTACATAGCGGTGCTTCATAGATTTTCATTTCCTATGCCTCAACCTCCTAGCTAAAGATACACATGGAGTTATAATGATTATACAGTAACTGTGGTGATTTCCCGTGGATTATATTCTGTGGATTAAGCCCTGAGGATTACAGAATGAGCCGATTATTCGCGCCCGTGAACGCCAACCCGGTCAAATCGGCGCCCAACAGCCCAATGCTCAGAAAAGCGGAGCACAAAAGTCCATCTTTCCTTCACCGGTCGGAAAAAAAATCCGACTCTAACAAGAACCGGAAGTCTGAGAGTAACTTGACTCTGAAGAAGTCAGGCTCTAAGAACTTGGTGGCGTCGTCACAGAACTTGTCAGTGGACGGGGGGGAGTCGCCCACCAGCTACCTGCAGCCTGAGAGTGACGGCCTGAAGAAGTCCTGGTCCACTGGCAACGGTCTCAACAAGTTAATTAACAAAATCATTACCCCACAGGTATGTATGTAAACCTTAAGTAAGAAACAACTTGACTTAGTCATCTTTACTCCTTGTGGAGCAAAGAACCTCAACCATTATCGTCCATTAAAGTCTCGAGTTCGAACCCTTGGGCAGATGAGGCTCGTTAGCTGGGGACAGCCACTCTTCTAGGAGAGACAACTCCAAAATTAAACAACTGCTGCCTTGTAGTTTGTTCTTGGTTGGACAAAGGCTAGGAAAGCAAATCCAAAAAGAAAAGCAGGCTGAATTCGGAGTCAATGGCCTCAATGGCGCATAACCAGTTGATACGTATCATTAATTGTGATGGAGGCGTGGTCGAGTCGGCAAAAGCTCATGGTTAATAAATTCGAAACAGTCTCGAGTTCAAACCCTCTGGCAGATAAGGCTCGATCCCTTCCAACACTAAAAATTAAGAACGAAGAAGATTATTATCCACTTTGTCTACTCTAGCCTATGGCTGTATTTTCTCCCCAAGACGTCCCTGCAGTATTAAGTTCTTGATCACAACTAGCGACGTTCTTACTTTTTTGTTGAGTTAAGAAGTGTAAAAAGTGTGTCTTACGTGGCAAAGAGTGAATGAATGAATGTACAAGCAGATGGGCTGGCAGATGTTTTGAAAGTGGGCGCGGTGTGGTAGATGTAAACCTAGAATACATCGCCTACGTTTGTAGTTTCTGTGTTACATCGCCTACGTTTGTAGTTTCTGTGTTACAGTGGGGTGGGTAAGATTTGCGTGTGGTTGTGGTAGCCTAATATAGCGGTGGGTTTTACAGTAATGGTGGTTTATTATAGAAAAGTGGTCAAGCTATTATATCGATTTTGCTACTTCAAATTGATGGTCAATTATCAAGAGGTGTCAATTCTAAGCTATGTTCTACGTTTGTTATACATATAGTGGTCTAATATACATATATAGCTAGTGGTCTATCTATAGACGTAACGTAGGATTATATCAATGTGGTAGTTCAACGTCTATATAGGTAATTGTTATTTAGAACCGCTTCTTCTAGTTGTAACATTTTCACTACCCACTGTAGACCCAATGTATTGTCAGTTATATAATGCTTGTAATACCTGTCTTTTATTGAAACCTTTCCCAACACAACTTCTCCACAATAGAATCGATACCTGTCATGACAAATTATCTACAGCAGAATCGATACCAGTCATGACGCAGCTTGTAGGAATTATTTAGGTCTTTTCTAAAGTTAATCTTGACCTGAGCTTAACTTTTCACCCCCCCCCGACCCCCACACACACATACAGAAGATAAGATCATGTGACCGACATACCTGAGAACAAACAGACGTTAATCTCGTACCTGGTACTTGTAGTCGTGATACCTTCATATTTGGATAATTACAGTCGGATCCATGTTTATAATCTCGACTCCGGTGTGGGCCCCGTAGTTATGTCTGATGCTTTCGGCGGGCCGTATAATTATGTCTGTATGATATTTTTGGCCGGGCCATCGAATGATTTTTCCCACGTTTTCTTTAACTTGCTTTCGCGTCTTTCCAATCAAATCTTGCGATCGAAATTTCGGGCACTTCCCAGTTAGCTAGCGCGCTGAAATTTTCAGGGAAGCTTTGTTTCCGATGACAATAGAATATTCAATTGTTATTATTACTAAATTGATCCATGGAAACATTTTATTGATCATTTTAGACCGCTATATAATTTTACAAAAAACGTGGGGGAAAAGGGACATAACCCAGTAATAATAATTTTATGAAAACAAGATTTGGTACTCTCCCTCTTTTTGCTTACTGAGTAGTTGTTACGCGGTGTTTGTGTACAAACAACCAGAACGTAACAACTGGTGGCCAGTATGGGGGAGACAATATGGTCGAGTGGTTGGGCACACGATTGCTAACCCACTCGACACGGGTTCAAGGCACGTGTTTTTTACGAGTTGTCTTCGTTTACCCAAATAAAATCGATAGCAAGATTTTAAAGCAAACAAACAGACAAAGACTAAAAAGTAGAAAATAATAATCATTAAAAAAGTTTAAAAAAACCCACGTTTTCTGATTGAACTAAAAAGTAGAAAATAAATGCTATACATCACAATAATGCAAGCGATCACTCTACTATAAGCGATGAAAAACGTGGGGCGCCGTGATTTTCTTACAGTTTCTAATACTGTTGACTCTCTACAAGCTCCCTAATAAAAGTCAATAGTATTATCTAATCAATAGTAATATAACTTTTACATCTTATATTAACAATGACCGATAAAAAACTTTTACTTCGGCGCCCCACGTTTTTCATCGTTTATAGTAGAGTGATCGCTTGCATTATTGTGATGTATAGCATTTATTTTCTACTTTTTAGTTCAATCAGAAAACGTGGGTTTTTAAACACTTTTTTAATGATAATTATTTTTGTGTGGGCCTTATAATTATGTATGATTTATTGTACGGGCCCTAATCTTATAATTGGGAACAGGGCATTACCCCCCCCCCCCCCCGTCAATTACCCCAAAGACATTTCCCCCAACATTACCCCCAGGAGTAATTACCCCCCCTGTCAATTACCCCTCCCCGTCAATTACCCCCCCCCCCCCCAGTAAGACATTACCCCCCCCCCCCCCCCCCGGACGGACCGGGTTAGGGTTAGAGTTAGGTTTCTGGCTAGGGCTAGGGTTAAGGTTAGAGTTAAGGCAAGGGTTAGAGTTAGGGTTAAGGTAGGGGCAATGACTAGGGTTAGGGTTAAGGTTTGGGTTAGGGTTAGGCTTAAACCAATGCCTAGCGTTGGTTTTGGTTTTGTGTCATGGTTTAGGCTGAGGTGAATGCTTAGGTTTTGGTCTTTTTCTTAAGGTAAGTATTAAGGTGATATATAAGTATAGAATTCTAGTTAGAGTTAGGATTCTAACTTGAGGGGGGGGGTTGGTAAATTGACATGGGGGTAATTTCTCCGGGGGTGGGGAATACGGGGGGAAATGTCAGGGGGTAATTTCCGGGGGGTAATGTCCTGTAGCCCTTATAATTATGTCTGTATGATATTTTTGGGCGGGCCTTTGTCTGTAGATAGTTTTTGTGCAGGCCTTATAATTTTGTGTGATTTATTGTACGGGCCCTATAATTATATCTGTATGATAAAGTGGACAGGTCTTATATTTCTTTGAGGTTAAAACATTTGGACATTAAGACAGGCACAACAATCCTACACACATAAACACAACATCTGGCGTTCATGAAATGTTCTAACGGCTGTCCTAGTTAGACGTGACCAGTGTACTAATGTATTTCACATGTACGCGATGCTGTCCAATGTACTATTATATTTCACATGTACACGATATTTTGTCCTAGTTAGACATGACCAATGTACTATTATATTTCACATGTACACAATATTGTGTCCTGTTAGATATGACTAGTGTACTATTATATTTCACATGTACACGATATTGTGTCCTAGTTAGACATGACTAGTGTACTATTATATTTCACATGTACACGATATTGTGTCCTAGTTAGACATGACTAGTGTACTATTATATTTCACATGTACACGATATTGTGTCCTAGTTACACATGACTAGTGTACTATTATATTTCACATGTACACGATATTGTATCCTAGTTAGACATTACTAGTGTACTATTATATTTCACATGTACACGATATTGTATCCTAGTTAGACATGACCAGTGTACTATTATATTTCACATGTACACGATATTGTGCCATAGTTAGACATGACCAATGTACTATTATATTTCACATGTACACGATATTGTGTCCTAGTTAGACATGACTAGTGTACTATTATATTTCACATGTACACGATATTGTGTCCTAGTTAGACATGACTAGTGTACTATTATATTTCACATGTACACGATATTGTGTCCTAGTTAGACATGACCAATGTACTATTATATTTCACATGTACACGATATTGTGTCCTAGTTAGACATGACTAGTGTACTATTATATTTCACATGTACACGATATTGTATCCTAGTTAGACATGACCAGTGTACTATTATATTTCACATGTACACGATATTGTGCCATAGTTAGACATGACTAGTGTACTATTATATTTCACATGTACACGATATTGTGTCCTAGTTAGACATGACTAGTGTACTATTATATTTCACATGTACACGATATTGTGTCCTAGTTAGACATAACTAGTGTACTATTATATTTCACATGTACACGATATTGTGTCCTAGTTAGACATGACTAGTGTACTATTATATTTCACATGTACACGATATTGTGTCCTAGTTAGACATGACTAGTGTACTATTATATTTCACATGTACACGATATTGTGTCCTAGTTAGACATGACTAGTGTACTATTATATTTTACATGTACACGATATTGTGTCCTAGTTAGACATGACTAGTGTACTATTATATTTCACATGTACACGATATTGTGTCCTAGTTAGACATGACTAGTGTACTATTATATTTCACATGTACACGATATTGTATCCTAGTTAGACATGACTAGTGTACTATTATATTTCACATGTACACGATATTGTATCCTAGTTAGACATGACCAGTGTACTATTATATTTCACATGTACACGATATTGTGCCATGGTTAGACATGACCAATGTACTATTATATTTCACATGTACACGATATTTTGTCCTAGTTTGACATGACTAGTGTACTATTATATTTCACATGTACACGATATCGTGTCCTAGTTAGACATGACCAATGTACTATTATATTTCACATGTACACAATATTGTGTCCTGTTAGACATGACCAATGTACTATTATATTTCCCATGTACACGATATTGTGCCCTAGTTAGACATGACCAATGTACTATTATATTTCCCATGTACACGATATTGTGTCCTAGTTAGACATGACCAATGTACTATTATATTTCCCATGTACACGATATTGTGCCATAGTTAGACATGACAGCGCCCTAGAGTTCATCATTTCATTCCCCCCCCCCCCCCCCCCCTCCCAAACACCTCTACTCTCTGTGACCTGGTTTACTAAAGCAAAATCATTTTTAGTTGTCTATGCATCCTTAAAAAAGATATAGAGAGAAAGAGAGAGATAGAGAGAGAGGGAGAGAGAGAAAGACTCTTCTTGAAAATATTTGCCAATCCCTACAATAGTCCATTAACCCCGTGGCTATGTGACCCTCCCATTAGCCCCCCCCCCTCCTCCTCCCATTAAGAGACGGATGTACAGACACCCTTGAGCACACACACACACACACACACACACAGACATACACACAGACATACACATGTACATATACGACCATACGACCAGCAGTAATCAACAGAGAAAGTAGATAGAACCTCATCAGCTGGTGTCCTAATGAGTTCATTAAGCGGATCAAACCGCCCCTCTCGTTTGAGTTCATTTTGTTTTAACTTGTCTCTATTGATTAGGTCCCTTTATTACCTATACGCTTATCTGACTGCGTTAATCGATGACTTGAAGAAGTCTGGTTAGGTTTGGCGACGTGGTGTTTAACTGCCCATGCTGTCCCACTTACCGTAAAGTAAGGTCCATGCACTAACACTAACTGACCACACCAAGGTCACTGACCTTGCCAACGTGCGATGTTTCTTATACGCTCGCATCACACACTTATACATTCGACATACACACACCTTTTAAAAAAGTTTTTATCGATTTTTAGAATTCAATTTTTTCATTGAAAAAGAATTCCTACTTTTAAAAAATATAAAAAAGCAACCAACTGACCAAGAGCAGGTAGCTCAAGATGACATTTAACCCTTTCATTAACCTTGACCTATGTTAACTTGCAGGTGTACAAGGTGATTGTGAACTGTGAGGGGAGGTCGTGGTTTATATTCCGGAGGTACAACGAGTTTCACACCTTGTATGAAAAGGTAAGTCAAGATATCACTTTTTTTCTCGCTAACTTCACGATCTTCTAGAATCTTCTATCAGGGGACATAATTATAAAGCGTTGATAATTACAACGAGAAATGACGTCAGTGATTATCTTACGTTAAAGCAGACCTCAAGTACTCTTACCCCCCCCCCCCTCTTAAACCGCTCCATCGTACCTCAGTGACCCCCCCCCCCCGACCCGACCCATACTACTTCATCCAAACTCTTCGGTCAAGCTGACCTCTCTTTCCTTGTGACACCTGCTTGGATAAATCCCTTCTGTCCAACCCCATTCTGACCACCCGACCCCGCCTGCCCAGCCGACCCCTTTGACCAGCCGACCCACCTGCCCAGCCGACCCCTTGACCAGCCGACCCCTTGACCAGCCGACCCCACCTGCCCACCCGACCTCTACGACCATCTGACCCGCAAGTTCTGGAACTCTCTCACCTGTATTTATTGTGACCTGCCTACCTGTCCAGCAGGTTCCATCACGTGGCTTGCATGTACCTGACGTAAACAGCAGGCCGTATTTAGCTCACACAATCCCCCATTCAAGATTATTACGTCATCACGGCACGCGCATCCCATAATAGCACGCGTGGTACATGAGCACCTGTTTGTAGTCGGGGAATGTGAGCAAAACTCACCTGACCTTTGACCTTTATGTCGGTGACTTGAGAATTTGATGACTTCATGTTTGTGACTTATACTTTGAGTTGAGCCTTGTTGAACTAAGGTAATACGTGTACTGCGATTTTACTTTGATAACAGAGGGATACTATTGTCAAAAGCCCATTAGGTCATCTAAAGCCCTTAGGAAGCCCATTAGTTCGTCTAAACCCCATCAGAAGCCCATTTCGTCGTCTAAAGCCCATCAGAAGCCCATTTCGTCGTCTAAAGCCCATTCAAAAGCCGTCAGAATCCCATTAGATCATTAATTAAAGCCCTTCAGAAGCTCATTCATTTGCCTAAAGCACTCCAAAAGCCCATTTGATTGTCTAAGGCCTTTCAAAAGCCCAGTAGGTTGCCTAAAAGCCCTTCAGCAGCCCATAACGTGGTCTAAAGCACCGGCACAAATATTTCCTACCAGAGAAGAAAAGGCGAGGCTACAATAAAATCTTGCGATAGAAAAATGACACGGGGTTTGTGTGACCTAGACAGCTAATCTACGTCACCTACACCACACACCTACACCACACACCACACCACACACCACACACCTACACCACACACCTACACCACACACCTACACCACACACCTACACCACACACCACACACCAACACCACACACCTACACCACACACCTACACCACACACCACACACCTACACCACACACCTACACCACACACCTATACCACACACCACACACCACACACCACACCACACACCTTCACCACACACCTACACCACACACCTACACCACACACCTACACCACACACCTACACCACACCACACACCTACACCACACACCTACACCACACACCTACACCACACACCTATACCACACACCTACACCACACACCTACACCACACACCTACACCACACACCTATACCACACACCTACACCACACACCTACACCACACACCACACACCTACACCACACACCTACACCACACACCTACACCACACCCCTACACCACACACCTACACCACACACCTACACCACACACCTACACCAAACACCTACACCACACACCACACACCTACACCACACACCTACACCACACACCTACACCACACACCTACACCACACACCACACACCTACACCACACACCTACACCACACCACACACCTACACCACACACCTACACCACACACCTACACCACACACCTACACCACACACCTACACCACACACCTACACCACACACCACACACCTACACCACACACCTACACCACACACCTACACCACACACCTACACCACACACCTACACCACACACCTATACCACACACCTACACCACACACCTACACCACACACCTACACCACACACCTACACCACACACCTACACCACACACCTACACCACACACCACACACCTACACCACACACCTACACCACACACCTACACCACACACCTACACCACACACCTACACCACACACCTATACCACACACCTACACCACACACCTACACCACACACCTACACCACACACCTACACCACACACCTACACCACACACCACACCACACACCTACACCACACACCTACACCACACACCTACACCACACACCTACACCACACACCTACACCACACACCTACACCACACACCACACACCTACACCACACACCTACACCACACACCTACACCACACACCTACACCACACACCTACACCACACACCTACACCACACACCTACACCACACACCTACACCACACACCTACACCACACACCTACACCACACACCTACACCACACACCTACACCACACCCCACACCACACACCTACACCACACACCTACACCACACACCTACACCACACACCACACACCTACACCACACACCTACACCACACACCTACACCACACACCACACCACACACCACACACCTACACCACACACCTACACCACACACCTACACCACACACCACACACCACACACCACACCACACACCTTCACCACACACCTACACCACACACCTACACCACACACCTACACCACACACCTACACCACACCACACACCTACACCACACACCTACACCACACACCTACACCACACACCACACACCTACATCACACACCTACACCACACACCTACACCACACACCTACACCACACACCTACACCACACACCTACACCACACACCTACACCACACACCTACACCACACACCTATACCACACACCACAAACCACAAACCACACACACCACCCACACACACATACCGGAAGCTGTCTAAATGTACAGATTGCGTCACCGTGCTAACAACTCGACCACACCAGCACTTAGTACCAGCACCTAGCACCAACACTTAGCACCGATAAAACAAGCGAGAATGACAGTCAGGTGCTGAAAGAAGTGCGGGTCAGATCCGGTCAAAGTCACTGAATTCGATAACTTCCCCAATGACGTCACTTGATTCTGATATTGAATGTATTCTCACAATGGCTTGTTTCTTATAATATCAGATGTTGATCACCAGTTGAATTTCTAGTGCTGGAAGACAAATGCATTGTTCGTTGTGACGTCATTGTACTCACTAACCCCGATATGGGGTTGGGTGGGGAGGGGAATGACGTAACTCAGTGACTTAGGTTGCAGATTAGTGTGTGATTAGTCGGGTATGTGGTAGTTGTGATCGACTGTGGTATGACTTTCATGTCAGTGTTTTAATTGTCATGTCAGTGTTTATGATTGTCTATTCTTGGAACAGCAATGAGCTTCACATATCCAGAGACTAAATATTCATATATTTAATTAATAGGACACGAATGGCATGTGACTAATTTAATTAATTAACTTAGTATTTGTATTCAATTAGTTCTATTCTAATTTTTTATATACTTTAGTTCCCATTTAGAGTGCGCCCTAGGAAGTCACGATTAATCTGGTTAAAAAATAAGTAGTTCACTCGGTTCGAGATTAGAACAAATAACTAGCCAGGAGGGCAGATCACGCCGAGGGGAGATAACACAATTAATGTCACCACGCGCAATGTTCTTTCTTTTCACCTCAAACTTTATCCCGTCTGTACCCACTGGTTCAAGTTTTTTTTTTTTTTTAAATTTTTTATTTATAACACCAGGTATCCTACTTTTAGAGCGACGTATATATTTTTATTTATTTTCCAATTTTTTTACAAACAATTACACCAGTTATCCTAATTTCAGAGCGACGCACACATTCTTTAAAAATAAGCCATACAATAATTTAGATCTAGTTAAAACAACGTTTTGCACAGTTCAATAAAACTTTGTCATTTTGGGTTCAAATAAAGAACTTGTGTATACCATAGCAACGTAAGAGATGAAGAAAACAAATGTTTTTGATAATATTTTAAACGCCATTCTAAATTCGCAACGAAATGGAATTTTTTCCCGAAGGATTTTGTGAGTTGGATGGGGATTTTGTAGAAAATTGATAGTCCGGTTCTGGTCATTAGAAAATTGATAGTGCAGTTCTGGTCATTAGAAAATTGATAGTGCAGTTCTGGTCATTAGAAAATTGAGAGTCCGGTTCTGGTCATTAGAAAATTGATAGTCCAGTTCTTGACATTAGAAAATTGATAGTCCAGTTCTGTTTATTATAAAATTGATAGTGCAGTTCTGGTCATTAGAAAATTGATAGTCCAGTTCTGGACATTAGAAAATTGATAGTCTAGTTCTGGTCATTTGAAAAATATTTTGAAAAATAAAATACGACTTCAGATCTCTAAAAAAACAATGTAATCCTGCACTCAATTTTTTTATTCTGAAAAGTGTATGTTATTTTATAGGCTTTCCCACATTAAAACGTATGTCACAGATAAACTGCTATAACAAAAAAAAACTAAAAAGCTTATTTTCACAATAAAGCTGTTGTCAAGGAAAAGCTGAGAAAATCTATTTCCACACTTAAGCTACTTTCACGAGAAAGTTATTTCCACAATTTTTTAAGAAAGTCAGCTATCTTTTACAGCGAAATGAAATCTTTTTTTCAAGTTTCCAGGGGAGTTAATCATTTCCAAGTTTTAAATTTTAACCGAAGGTGATAATTAAAAATAAAAGCTTATTGGAACAGCGAGGGCAATATTTTTTGAAGACGCTGAGCTGGATCTCAGGAAAAAAAAGGTTCTAAAAGTTGTTGCTATGGTAACAGAACTCTGATAGGAATTATAAGCCTCAGGAATAATCGGGGAGGGGGGGGGGGGTTAAAATCGAAATAAAATAAAATCGTTTGACATTTGCGTGGGTTTCATATTTGCCGTCGGCCATGCTGCTGACGTCACTAAGTGACCCCATTATTACGATCAACGCAAGAAATTTCGTATTTTTTAAATCCGA